ATGGCGGAAGTTATCGAAGTGGAAATTGAACAGGCGAGTGAACAAGAACAAAGAGGAAGAGAAGATGAGGTTGTTTCAGTTTTGTCACGCCTACGACCGCCTGTTGCAAGTGATTTATCTCGAAAAAGAAAATTGGTAACCAACCCTGGAAAAGGAAACCGAAGATCAAAGTCAAGTTCGCCCAATTTAACTGCAGCGAAAAGCGAGCCAAAGTCAATCTCAGCTAAAGACAGAGCCAAAGAATTTAAAGATGAGCCATTCACCATTCAGCAGATTTTTTCTGCAGTACAATAAGATGCACCATATACAAAGTACCTACCAATTAATTCGACGTCACGTGGAATCAATCAGTCAACATGGCGGAAGTTATCGAAGTGGAAATTGAACAGGCGAGTGAACAAGAACAAAGAGAAAGAGAAGATGAGGTTGTTTCAGTTTTGTCACGCCTACGACCGCCTGTTGCAAGTGATTTATCTCGAAAAAGAAAATTGGTAACCAACCCTGGAAAAGGAAACCGAAGATCAAAGTCAAGTTCGCCCAATTTAACTGCCGCGAAAAGCGAGCCAAGGTCAATCTCAGCTAAAGACAGAGCCAAAGAATTTAAAGATGAGCCATTCACCGCACAGGCAAACGGGGGACTTTTTTGCACGGCTTGTCGTGAGCTAGTTTCTCTGAAGAAACAGAATATACATGTTCATATTTCAAGCAAAAAACACAAGGAGAACAAAGAAAAGCGGTTGCTGAACGACAAGAAAGACGACGACATTAGAAAGGCCATTGCAAAGTATGACGATAAGAACCATCCAAAGGGAGAAACGCTTCCTTCTACTACAAGATTATTCAGGGTGAAATTTGTTAAAGCGTTCTTGAAGAGTGGTACACCTTTGAGCAGGGAAGAATATTTCAGAGATCTACTTGAGGAGGTGGGATACCCACTTACTTCAAGTTCGAACTTATTCCTTTCATCCTCGAACAAGAATACGAATGCATTTGCCAAGAAGTGAAGGGAAAAGATGTTGCCATCATATTTGATGGAACTACGCGAGATGGGGAAGCATTAGTTGTTCTGGTTCGTTTTGTGGAATCATGGATAATAAAGCAGAGGCTTGTGAGATTGAGACTTTTAAAAAGTTCTGTAAACGGTGACGAGCTAGCTCGCATAATTATCGAGGTGTTGCACAGAAAAATCAATATTCAAGAGAACAGTCTTTTAGCAGCGATGAGAGACAGAGCTTCTGTTAACACGAAAGCTCTGCAGACGGTGTCTGTGCTTTATCCTGATATGATTGATATTGGATGTATTTCACATTTCCTGAACAAAGTGGGAGAGAAATGCCACACACCAACACTCAAGCTATTTATGGCAACATGGAATCTCATATTCAGCACCAGTATTAGAGCTAGAAATATTTGGAGAGGCATAAGTGGACGGTCAATGCCAAGGTACAATTCCACAAGATGGTGGAGTTATTGGGAGTGTGCAATGGTAGTGCTTCAAGAATGGCAGCATATCAGAACTTTTCTAACGAGCAATGAAGATTTTGCAAAGACCTCAAGACAACGACTACTCCAGATATTTGATGTGAACACAAATAAGGTTAAGATTGAGCTAGCGTCAGTGATGGAAATGGAGGAATTTGTGAAGTCTACATACACCCTTGAAGGTGATGGACCATTGATTTTGATTGCCTATGAGAAGCTTCAAATGCTGCAGGCATTTATCAGAGTCCGGAACTTCCCTACTCTTACCGGTGTGGTACAGCAGCTGTTTCCTCTGAATGTTGCAGAACAGCAAAGATGGTACAACTATGGCTTTAGAGAATGCTTGATGCCAGCTTTTGAATACTATACCAACACATCAGCAAATGATGCCACAGTCTCGCGTTCTATCCAAGTGTTCCAAGCTGCTCAGCTTTTTAGCCCGAAGTTTGTCAAAGTGTCAGAACCAGATGCTGAAACAGTAGATCAAATCAGAGCTGCCCCTTTCTTAGCAACAATGAAGTCATTCAGTCTCTGAAAGATGAACTGCCAACCTAAATTGTGAAGGCATCTCAAATTCCTGATGAATTTGATACTTTGTCAGCTTCTTGGCCCTGGTGGAAGTCAGTAGCTCGAGAACTACCAGCGTGGTCTTCAGCGATACAGAAGCTAGTAGTTGTACAGCCATCATCTGCAGCAGCTGAAAGAGCTTTTTCCATGCTTACAACTATGTTTGGTGAACAACAACATGATGCGCTGGAAGATTACATTCAAACTTCTTTGATGCTGCGAGTAAATGATCACTGAGATTATTTACATGTAAGTAAGAAGTATGGGGGGACTTATATATTTAAGTTGTTAGACTGATCATTATTATGTTATTAACAACATGCCTAGTTGCACGCAAAACTTTGTTTGAGAAGTTGTTGTTTGAAATACATAACAGTCAGATAACACTGTCTTTTAAGATGTTGTAATTCAATAAACTCTTTAACTGTTTATTGCTGTGTTCTGGGATCCGTGTTCTGGCAAAGCACTTATGGCAAATTGCAATATTTAATTAATAAACAGAAATTGATGAAATCGAGTTGCTTAGATGTTTTTATTTACTTATTATACCTTAAAATAAACCAGCCCTGCAATAAACATCTTTTGCTATTCAAATAATAATGTATATTTTTTTCCATTTCTTTAATTGATATAAAGCCAAAAATGGGTCAAATTAACATTAGAAAAAAGTGATATTTCTGAGAAATTTAGAAGATTTTTTAAGAAATTTAGACTAAATTCAAAAGAAATTTAGGAATTTTATGAGAATTTCTAGAAAGAAATTTAGAACATTTTTTGCGATATTTGTATCTAGGCTAACACGAAGGTAACAGTTGTGAAGATTTCTTGTAGTTTAGGCATTCGATATTCTTCAGTTGTCAACGAGCCCTTTTTGACTCAGACTCCTTTTGTTAATTTTTTTCTTTGTACATAGGTCCTACTAAACATTTTTCGAGGCATTCACTTGCTTAATCCGAAGTAATCTCACAAACATTTTCAAAACCGCGTGCAATATTGAACAAAACAAAGAAACAAGTTTCCTGTAACGTCATCCGGCATGTATCTGTACTCCTATAGATACTGAACAAGGACCAATCACAGCGCGCATACCATTCACATCATTGTATAATTGCTTTTCGCACAATATTCTGAGGTTTCTCGCTCCACTGTACATCTTTCTTCTCTAAAACCCACCCGACAGTCACCCAACACAGACTCCACAAGTGACAGTAATCGCTTTTGAAGTATCTGCTAAAATATCTCTACATCTTCCGAACAATGAACTTGAGAAACGACGAGCCTTTACTAAAAGGGTGGGTGTTTGACACTGAAAATTAAAATCATCTGTTTCAGCCCCAAAGTGCCAATTCAGCCCTGCGGGCCAAAGTCTAATTTAGCCACTCCTGGAGCCATTTGAGCACAATTAAAGCCAAAAAAGCCCAATGAAAAGGATATTCCATTCAATGTCAGTTCTTGGGTCCAAATCAGCCCGGTTAGGTAATTAAACTATATTGGCCCGATTTCTTAAGGGAGCCAAATTAGACTAAAAAATAGTACTGTATTTTACTCACCGAAAAAGTCCCATTTTTAGGGCTAAAACGGATCTCTCTGATTTGCAGTGAAAAACTAATGACTAACAATAAAAAGGATAACCAAGCTAACGCTACTTACTTCCAGTGTTCCGGTGCTCTTTGAAAAGCTTTTAAAGGGTAACTTTTTTTTGTCCTCTCTTGTTATAAATTGTAGTCCATCAGTAAAGACGAGAAGAACATTTATTGCATCTGGCCTGTCTCCACCATCGCCAGTGAACAGCTTTGTCGCTGCCTTGTGTAAAGCAATATCTGAACGAGTTCCCCACTGTTTCGGACCCGGAACTGAATTGACTTCTTTCTCGATCAGGTTTTTAAGAGCCTGTTGATCGTAGTATGGTTGCGTATTAAAGTCGCTTTGGATTTTTGCGTAACGATTGAACGTAATAAAACCATAATGGTTTCCTTCAGCAGAGACTGGATATTTGTCAATTAACTGATTAATCAGGTTATTAAGGATCCTTCTTTGCGTTGGCGTCATGCTTAAGGAAGTGTCAGCCAGGATAGCGATATCCATTTTCCTCGTAGGACAGTAATCTATGTAAAAAGATGAATAAATAAATAAATAAGTACAATACAATACAATACAATAATAAATTTATTTAATAAAGACCTGGAGGTTTAAAAGCCCAAAACATTTCCAAGACGGGAAGGCGAATACCCTGCGAGCGGAAGCTAGATTTTAGAACGCCAGCTTACACGGAAAAAATTTAATGGCCTCTGGTTGTATAGCCTGCGAACAGCAAACGCATTTCCGGTCGTCGCTCCTCTCCCTCCGAAAAGGAGGGAGTGAAGCGACGACCGGAGGCTACTGCTTGCAGGTTAGAAGGTGACATGTCCATCATCAAAGCCTTATTTTCTCTGTACATTAGCCAGTATACATCACAATCTCAGGACGAGTGGCTCGTTTTAGGCTAAGTTTTGTTCCTGCAAAGTTGGGACAACCTCTGACCACAACATTTTTACAAGAATCTTGAAAGATTAATGGTGTAATTACCTAAATTGACTCCTTGGAAATTTACCTCTGTATAGTACAGGCTATCGGGGGAAAAATGCTGGCTAATGCAAAAGATTGTCCACACCAGCTGTAGCAATAATCAGCACGATCAAAGAACTTACGACATTCTTGTTCATTGCATGGAACTAGCTTCATAGCCGTTCCCAGGTCATCGCAGTTCTTTCCACCGTTAGATGGCGGGGGATTGGTACAGGTTCTTTCAAATGTCTTATAACCTGGCCCACATGTTTTACTGCATGCAGAAATGGTCCATTCGGTGTAGCCACCGTCCACAGCTGAAAAAGACATAAACGCTGGCTAGCTAGATTTTTGTTATTATGAAAGTTTGGTTCGTTTTGTCTTGCGTTTCAACAATGCAACAAAAAATCGCTCTCAGCTGATTACTTCAGCATCACTTATAGATCCTTTGCTAAAGTGTTTACCCTTTTGATCATATTATGTAATGTTTATGAAATTCACAATTTATCCACCTTAAATAACACTAACCAGTCCTATGTCAGTTTGCAGGCTAAGCTATGAATGAACACAGACAAGAGGAAACCCACAGTCAATTTGCCAGCTTGAGATTTTGTAACTCTTGAATTCTCATGTAGATAAATATTTACAGTTAAAATATACCTGAATTTTTAAAAACGGGATTAAAGCAGCTATCTTATAACCACTTTTGTAAACAAACAAACTTTACCTTCTCAATACCCAATAAAGTATTTTGATTTCGCTGCCCACTATTAATAATCTTTTCTATAATCTACCATTTTGCTATTGTTTTAATATACCAAATTGTGTGTAAGAGTTATTTATTTTTTCACTTTTATTTTCGGCCTCAATTTTGCGATGTCCCACGGGTACATCAGACGCGACCCCGTACGGTTCCAGAGTTTGGACGCCATCTTAAACGGGCTCGCAGACATTAGGGCCATTTATACGAGGAAAAATAAGACGCGTCTTAAATAAGACGCGAACTGTACCATTTATACGAGCATATCTTATCTAAGACAAGAACAGCTCGTATAAATGGTTCGCGTCTTATTTCTTTTCTTGACTCGTTTTCATGTGAATGTTGCCCGTAGCAACGGCAATCCAACGTGGCGCGCCAAAAATTTACGCATGCGTATTATGCGTTCGCGTCTTATGTAAGACGCGAAGGTCATTTATACGAAGTTTTTCTCGTCTTAGCTAAGACGCGTCTTATCTAGGAACAGGTGCTAAGGGCTGTTCTAAAATAAGACGCGTCCTAGCTAAGCCGCGTCTTATTTTAGACGAAATGGGCCGTTTATACGGAAAGTTCGCGTCTTATTTAAGACGCGTCTTATTTTTTCTCGTATAAATGGCCCTATTGTCTCTCATTTGATGATTTCTTCTCAGCTTG